TTTTTTTTTTTTTTTTTCTTTTAAATTGCTATTGATACGTTGAACGTCGCGTGCATTCAACGAAACTCGTTGCGAGTGAATTCTTTCATCGATCAATTTCACAAGCAATTAATTAGTTCTGTGTTTCGTTGGGAAACGGGACTCGGTGAAAGCAGCAGAAAATGCTTGTTTTTTTCTCCTTTGTTCCGAGAGAAGTACGTTTGTAATGCGCGCGTATTCGGAACGAAGGAAGCGAATAATGGCCTCTATTTGAATTTTCGGCGGATCACCTTAGCCGACCCACTTTCGTTAAAAGCTTTTCGTTAAAAATCTCTGAATGCTTCTTTTCACGGACAGGGCTCCGGCCCCCTTGGTTTGTGGAAATTTTGCGCGCTAGAAGTTTGTTTATTCATAGACCGTATTTTAAAATGCGTATTTTAATATTTCTTGAAGGTACGTGGACATCTCTTTATTGTACAAAGTATTTTTAATACTTGTTACTCTTCGTGTAATAGCATATTGTGAAGTGATTAACAATAAGTTAAATTTTGAAAAGCAGTATTGACATTTTTAATCGTCAAATGTTATACATTTTGATATTATTTCCTACTTGATAAATTTTTTTGAATGGTAGAAAAGGACATTAATTCAACGTTAATAATATTTAAAATTAACACACGTTGTATTAACTAAATGATAATTGCTTTTATATAATAATTTCTTTCGTAAATATCATTATAATCATTATAATATTATAATATTCAATATAATCACTTAATCATTATAATCATTATAATCATTTAATATTCAAATTAAATACCCTCGAATACAAGAATAACTTATTTCGCAAAATTAATTAATATTCAAGTGAATTATATTCGAAGAAAAAAGGACGATTACTCTCCAAAATATCGCCAGAGTTAATTAAATACTGAAATTAAGTTATAAATTCTATTATAATCATCACATCGAAATGGGGAACTCCTCGGAAAGTAATTGCAAGTGATTTATTCACCGATTAACAACAACATGTTACACGTACTTTCACTCTGGAACTTCGGAAAGTGTTACGAACAAGTTGCACGAGATTCGACGAGAATTGCATTATCATAAATTAGTAGTGTTAACTAGCGCGTGCTGTGCGCTAGCTTTCTCAGATGCTATTATTAAAATCCTATCGATATATTAATTATTACGATGCCGTCGCAACATGATCGTAGTAAATAAATTCGCGTTACAGCAAGATCACGGTTATCGAGCCACACCGTGTCAACGTGTTAAATTAAACACTGTTACTAATCGATATTACGACAGTCTGGCTTCCTCGAAACGATTCCGTCTCGTACTCCTCACACTTCTGTTTATGGTCGCGCTACAATAATACCTGCGGTTGATTAACTTCTATTTACACTTTCCAACACTTTCACCGTCGTCGAAGAAATCCTTGTCGATGTTGAACATCGCATTTATATCGGATTTTAGTAGAAAATTATCGGTCGCCTGTTTCTTACATAATTAACTAGACGATTACTATGACGTTCTTATTACGGCGATTTTTCATCGAAGGCTTTGTTCTCGAGAAAATTCAAGCATGTCTAGTTGCATTTGGTTCATTCTGAATTGAATTAGATAATTGTATGAATAAGGATAATAATAATAATAATAATAATAATATAAGATAATAATGTATGTAATATGTATATAATAATAATAATAAAATAAATAATAATATAAAAAATAATAATAATAATAATAATATAAGGATAATCGTATGAAAATAAATCAACTATGATTTAAGATTTTTTTTTTATAAGAAAGTCCCCAGATTAATTGAACTTGAAAATTCGAGTACACGTGTGCCAAGCAAATTTCTAATTGAAAATTTATATCAGTAATATTACCAAAAAAGGTATCAAAATTAACTACCAAAAATTGAGATTTTACCAAGAAAACATACAATTAGATTAGATACGTCGTGTAATGATGAGATAAAAATGAATTAGAAATAAAAAAGAATCTAAATTGCTTTTTTCAGTTTTAAATTAGCCTTAAATTATAAATTATAAATTAAAAAAAAAATAACATTCAAAATTCGGTATATTGCTTTCACCATATATCTTCTCCTAGACATTTATGTTCTTAACAAACGAAACATAATCGCTCAACGATACTACAAACCAATACTGAATCATTTTCATATATATATATATATATATATATATATATATATAATCAACGAGCACCTAATATTCTAAATCACACTGACCATGAATTTCTCATATCCACCGACGAAATCTACCACTGTTTCATTAAGCGAAAGGAAGGAAACGTCGTGTCCATAATACGGTGCCAGTGCGGTTTAATACTTGAGTGGAAACCATAAACGCGAACCGTCCGCGCGCAGCGTTGCCAGCCGGAATTCTGCGCGCGAGCGGAACGTAAATCAGCAACGGCGTTTATGGCCTGGTAAATTTTGCCGGGCGTCAGTTACACGTCGCGTCCG